ATATAACAAATAATGCTTTGGATTCAGTTTTGACATTGAATGATATTCTTTAAAGAAAGCCCACTCATATTGCATTCATCTTTATTAGATGAAAACATCTCGCAAATAGAAATGTCTTTACATCTTTTATAATTAATGACGCTTCCATTTACTAATTCTAATTGAATCGAAAAATATGGTATGATAAATTCGAGTAGGGTCATTGAAAATAATTATCATATTATCAACATCAAGAATAATAGATATAGTCTTATCGAAAAGATGAAGATAATAGAGTTAAGTGAAAATATTTTCTATGTTAATTCATACTGATTTGAAATGGAGACAAAATGAAACAACTATTGCTAAAGAAAATGAAATAAATTAGCGTAATTATCCTAGTAATATTTTTATTACTGATATAAGAAATGATTATGTTGTTGAAATAGAGATTAAATACAAGTTGTGATCAAATTATTGCTAATGGAAATAAATATGAAGTTAAGGATGAAATATGGATGAGGATTTAGTTATTAGTTAACAATAATATTCACAGCTACACCCTCAACAATAAGAGAAGAAGAAATCTCTGGAAAACAGTGAAGATTAACATAGGTGACGTCATAAAGAAAAAAAAATTTACGTATATTATGACGCCATATTAGTACTATTAAAAGTAAATGTACACATCACAGCACCAAGTGACAATTCTTCTTATGTTCTAACCATCTTTACTTAGTAATAAATTGTTTTAACTCATCGAATGCAGTATATAATAAATTCATTAAATATTCAACTTATTTACTATTTTACTTAGCACTTGAATCGACGTCTTAGACAGTGATCCAGAACCATTTTTCTCGAAAGATTTTTTTATTAAATATTTTTTGAAAATATATGTAAAGTAATTCAGAACTTATCAATCATTCATTGCGAATGAAGATAAAACAGTTTTATTATTTTCTTATATTTTCAAAATAAAACTCCTTTTACATCAATCATTTTTCTTAGCAATGATAGATGAATAACAAAGTTTATTAAAAATTATTAAATATAAAATAAAACATGTTCATCATTCATCATTTTTCTTGGATATAAATCTCTGGTAGTTATACGTAGAAAAATCATTCCATTATTTTTTTTAATCACAGGTGAGAGTCTTACAATGATACGCAATTTAGTGAATCGTATATGGCAAAAATTTCTCGAATTGAATCTATTCAAAAAACATTCAAGTAATGAACATACTCTTGAAAAAGAACTTCTTTCTACTCGTATTTATTTGATTGCATTAATTGTATGTTTATCTCTCATTACTATTACTGTTGCACTTATCGTTCGATCTGTTGACAAAATTGAATATAAACCTACACACGAGAAATTTTCACAATTAGTTCGTAAGTATCCGAGTACTCTTCATTGTCCATGTTCAAAATCTTCAACACACTATGACAAATTCGTCACTACTAAAGTTAATTTTCATCAAGTTTGTTCAAGTGAATTTATTCAACAGACATGGATTGATAAATTATTTACAAATGAAAAGATTTCAATGAAATCTATCGATGATGCTCGTATCACTCTTAGTTTTTTTTGGCAAACAATTGCTGGTTTATGTATAGCGAGTAACAAAAGTTGGAATGATGTTCTTGCAAATTTTGAAGGTACAAGTCTGATCACTCCTACAGCAGTTGCTGAACAAGTTATTCGAGTTCAAGCTGAAAATGCTCTTCAAAATCAAATTGATCTATCGAACGCAACATCAACTCGTAATTTACTTACTTTTCAACGTATGGCACGTAGAAATCAAGTTGTATCAGCCTTACAAACAAATTTCTATTTACGTTATCCACCAGCACATTTAAATTCATCGGGATCTGCAAAAATGACAGCTCAAAAATTTGGTAATTGTACTTGTTTAAATATTGAAGGTTGTCCACGATCTGCCACATTTATTGATAATTATGATCATTTAGTTAACATACCAGGAATGATAGTAGATTGTTTAATTGTTGATGGTACACTTGCCTCAACACTTGAATGTTATTATAATCAATCATGTATTTCAATTTTACATGGACAATTATCGATGAATATTGAACCATTATCAAACAATTCGAATAAAAATTTTTCTATGTATTCAACACTACAGTCAATCTTCAATAAATTAATGATAGATAAAACAACAACTGAGATTCGATTTGATAAATATTTTTCAGAATGTAACTGTCCTTTTTGCTCATATTCATACAGAAGACGTTTTGATATTTTTTTTATTTTCACGGCTGTTACTGGCTCTATTGGTATATTGTCATTCATTGTACGGCATCTTGCATCTTTCGTTGCAACAAAGATTTTACGTCGAAAAAACCGAATTCTACCAATGGAAAACGTATCAACGATAACGTCTATGGAACAGAATCGAAGTAAGTTAGAATAGACTTTTAGGAACTTGAGAGTGGCTTATAGTAGAAGTCAGAGATAAAACCTATCTGAAGTTTTGATAACCGATTAATCGATCGATGTATTAGTTTAGAATTTTCAGGGACTTCTTTTTTAATGTCGGCTTCATTCTTACATAATGATTTTCAATAGCTCCATCAGTGAAAATATCGAGGTAGATTGTTTATGATCGACCCGTCGCTAACTGTCGGCTTCACGTTTCAGATCGGGATCGAACTGAATCCAAGCAGTCCATTCTATTTATAAAAGTGAGTGAAGAGATGGATGTAAACCTCATATTTAGCTTACATTCAAAACTATCCTGGCACATAGTCAAATGGTTTGTGATTTACTGCATGTTTGATGACTCGAATCACATATCTCTTATCAGTTCAATGGTTTGTTTTGAATATTTAGACATAAGAAACGTTGTATATTGATAAAAGAATTTATCATTCATTTTCTTTTCAGAGCAACGTATACAACTTCGCATTCGACTTTTATTAAACAACTTATGGCAAGCAATGATATCTTTAAATCTTTTTGAAAAACAAACACATCGAACACCTACTAACATCTATCGAGAACAACTCCGAACAAAATTTTTCATTTTTTTCCTTGTTAGTTTATCAATTGCTGCTGGAGTATACACCATTGTTGTAGAGCAAAATCAGGTGATAACAAAATCGTATCCATCTCTTGATACTTATAAACAATTGTATAAGAATTATCCAACCACATTATATTGTCCTTGTTCACGAATATCCATTCCCAATAGAGTTTTTCTTAATGTAACATTTGTATTACATCAAGTCTGTTCAAGTGATCTGGTTTCATTAGAATGGTTAAATTATCTAAAATCTTTTGATCCGATTTATCTGCCGCCTGATAGTGACCCCGAGTATGCTGAAGATTTTCGTAAAATGGGTGCTTCTTATTTTCAACTTTTAGCTGCCTTTTGTTCATTAGCTGAAACGAACATTGCAGATGCACACCATGTATTTATGAATACTGAATTTATTAATGATCGTGTTCCTTCAAGATCACGTTTTGATCAACAAACTGAAGCTATGATGACTTCATTTATTCGTACAACAAAATATGATTTTGTACAAACATTTAAATGGACGAAACTTATTTTCCTTTATAGTCCTCTTTACAATGGATTGAATACAAATTTTTATATAGATAAAATCAATGATGGTCAAGTGATTGCTAAATTTCGTGTATATAATATAATAGGTTTTGTATTAAACGACACTCCACTGCCTGTGCGCTCCTGCACTTGTGGAACAGATCCTGCTTTCTGTTATGCAATCCCTGTATTATATGTGAATTCATCATACCTTGAAAATATTAATAAATATTTATTATTCAAAGTATTATACCTTGGTTGTTCACCTTTAAGTGGGTTTCTCATGTCGGGAACGAGATGGTGGTACGATATCACATATATGAAACATATTCAAGCAACTTATTCCATGATTATTCGTACTCGACTTCCACCAGATATCAAACCTTTTAGTGCATCTATATCGGCTCCATTGTATGATTTCAATACGCAGGAGTTACTTGGTGGAATGCTACTCGAAAAAACAATCAATAATACAGACTTCGATAGATTTTATAACGCATGTAAACCTAGTTCTTGCTCATATACCGTTGTTCGGCGTCGGGATTATTTTGTAATAATATTTCTGCTTGTTTCGATGTGCAGTGGTCTTAACAAAGGTCTTCAACTAATTGTTCCACTAATTGGTAAAATCATTTTTATTTGTTATGATTGGAGAAAAAATCGAAATACTCGACAAGGTAAGACATAAATTGAGTTCGTTTTCAAAAAAATAAATTAGTTGAAATTATAATAACTATATAAATACATATCAATTAGCACTAAAAGAATGTATTTCTTTTTAAAACTAATCAACTTCAGAATTCGATAAGACGTCTATTGAGAAGTATTATAATTTTTTGTGAAATCTTCAAAGGATAGCGAAAATTTTCATCACGAATCTTTCTGTATTAATGAGATCATTTTTTTGTCCCTTACAATTGAGATATAATGATGTGATAGTAGAATATGAGTTATTGACAGCACTATAACCATAGAAGTAAAGTAAATAATCAGAATAAACTCAGTTAACTACGTTCATTCGTGAGTATTCTTTGAGAAAAGAGTTTTACTAGAAGAGAAATTAGTCGAAAGAACCAAATTGAGAATGTTGGAACAAGTTTGAAGATGATTATGGATGAGTAACTGGTATAACTTTCCTACTTCTCCTCAGACTATTCAGTCAGGAATGTTATGACTCACAGAACTGGCTTATTTGAAGTACTGCTCAAAACAAAATACATATTGATTTGATCTCATATAAAATTCATTGTAGGATCATCTGCAATCGGTGTTTGTTCCAGAAACTTTCCACGTATTATCTATCATAAAATTAAAAATTTCAACATCTACCAAACAGAATCAACTGATAACACTCATATTCATCAACAACAAATGTACACAAGAGTTTATCTATTTCTTTACATAATTCTACTCAGTATTGTACTCTTTTATACAATTCTGATCGAACGTCGTATTAGTAAAACACATGTCTTACATTCAATTGATGAATATGAAGAATTGTTAAGCCGCTATCCAAATGATATCAGTTGTCCATGTACATATACGTCAATTCCTTATCATAATTTTATCACTGAATTACAAGTCGATTCGTTTCATGAAGCATGTGATATTAACCGGGTGCGCACGATATTGGTAGACGGTAAGTACAAAAATGTTAGTTTTCTTGTTCGTCTTTCTAAAATTCAATCAATTAACAAAATAAATATTGAAGACTTTCGGATTGAGATATGGTTTCTTTTTTTAATGAAGTTTCAACGAATCTAGTTTGAATTATACTTGAATTGTTGATATTGATTATGCGTAAAGAAAAGAAATTTTAAATAAATTCAAGTAGGAAAAAACTTCAAATTTTTATAAAATTGTTCATAGTCATGAAAAAAGCAAATTTGATTAGCTAAACTTTAAATGACCTAAATAAAAATTTTTTTAAAGAGTATTCGAATAATTATATTTGCAGATTTAGCGACAGATGCAGGTGGATCCAGGAGTTACAGTGATGAATACTCACTTTGGGGGAAATCTTTCATAGCATCCTTGGAGCAACTTTGTTCTTTGGCACAAGACAATGTTAACAATAGTATTGACGCATTTATTGCCTCAACTTTGTTTACTAATCAACTAATGTCTCGCAGTCTATTTGACACTGAAATGAATGAAACACTAAGTCAATTCGAAAGTAAAACAAAAACTACATTTGCACATATGTTAGACTTTATTCGTTCAACTATCCAAGGGAATGCTTTACTATATATAACTACAGACGCTTGGAGTTTAGTTGCAGTTGAAACAGATGATAAAAGAGATACTAATTTCCTCAGTGTACCTGTTACGCTTAACAATATACAAGATAATACAAGTTGTTCATGTGCAACTTTACGAACATGTCAAATACCACGACAAGTAAAGATAGATAATAATTGGATTACTATTGATGGTTTAGTCGGTGGTTGTCATGAACTTGAAACACTACTTCTCTCATCTTTGACTTGTCTCTATTCTTCCGGCTACATTAACTTACTTCGAACTATATTTGCAGGCAAAGAGGCACTATTGAATGAATTTATCAGATTGAATGGGCAAAGAACACGATTCTCTGTGGACGATACTGTTGAAAAGATAGCATATGAAATATTTATCGAATCATGGTCCACCCCTAATATATCCTATGAAAGATATTTTAATAGTTGCTCTCCAAGTTATTGTACTTATACATATTATCAAAAATCTGATGCATTAGAAATATTAACAACATTTTTGAGTGCATATGGTAGTTTATCAATTGTCGTTTACTTTATCGTACCTTATCTTATTAAATTAATTAAAAAAAGTTTAATTTACTTTCGAATTACTCAACAACAATGATACGTTTATTGAACATTAATTAGAACTATTTCAACAAGAAGATGTAATTGACATTTATCTGTATACGAGAATGACTAAATTATTCAAAAGTTTTAACCCTAAGAGAGTAAGTGCTATATTGCTCATATATAATTTTGAAGGTAATATAAGCCCTGGGACCGAAAATACGATTAAATTTTTTTAGTTAATTTCTCTACTAAAAAAATTTAACTAAGAATATTTAATTATCACTACTAGTTATATAACCTCAAAATCTATTTTATCTTCAAATTTATATGAGCACTACTCCTAAGTTAAACCACTAAAAAGTACTCAGATGATACTGAAAGTTCTAAACCTGCATTTTTCCTTGTTTTGTGTTCTCTTACATATAGCTACTGAGAAATTGTGCTTAATTTTTCTCATTAGATGATATCAATGATGACATAACACTGCAAAATATACTTGATATATATATATATGATTAAAATTGTTGCTAAGCTTCTAAATCTATTGAGCATTCTTATATATTATATTTTACTAATTATTTGTTGTTTGCAAATTTTGCATTGTATATTTATGCTGCAGCTTTTGTGATTTGTCTTTACTCTACTGGTTTCATTAATAAATAATTTTGCTTTATTTAATAAAACTAACTGAAATTGATGTATTTCTAATTGATTTGACCAAGATTCATTATAAAATAAGTTCGATGAAGGTGTGGATAACAGATAATTATAAAACTTACCTTCTTAAGAGTCTTAATTCAAAAGATTTATTTTATATGTAAACATTACTGTCGTCAAGAGTGAAGTTTAATAAGATAAGAAAATTAATTAAGTTTTAAAATAATCTTGTATTTAAAATATACGATTGTAATTTTTTTTTAAAGAATACACACAAATTTCAAAAACAAAACAAGATCAGTCATTGAAGGAAAATTAGGTCGATTTATGAACAATTTCTTATATTCTTTTCTCTGTTATTAATAAAAACTATGTTTGTTGAAATAAACTCTTATCAATATACTTTTCTGTATTTACAACTATTAAACATGATAGTGCATCTCATATCAAATGATATTTGAAATAAATCAGATTTGAGTATTATACTATCTTATCATATATAGAGAAAGAAATAGAAGCATTAATAATCTGAATGGATCAAAGATTATATTTCTTTTTGTAGTTTGTTTATACTAAAATCAATCGAATACAAAATTTCAAATGACAAAGGTTAGTTTTATTTAATAAAGTATATAAAACAATTTCTTTTATTCAGAATCGAATTGGTCATGAAAATCCTGCATTTAAATTAGATCAACAACCATACATAATAAATACTACAAATGGATCGATATTAAAAACAAAATTACAATCGACAAAAGAAGAAGATGATGATGATGATGAAGAAGATAAGAATAACGTAGGTTTTGAAAAACTCCCTAAAGATGGTCATTCATATGGTTTATTTGTATTAAAATTTCGAAAATATATAGTTCAAATAACTGAAAAACAAAAAAGTGAGTTTGTTCTGATTTATTTTGTATATTTTTTTATTTTAATGTTTGATAGACTGCAGTAATCTATGGATTGAAATTAATCTTTTTAATTGGTTTTCTTATTTTCTTTGGATTTTCTATGAGTGATAAATATGGTACACCTGCTTTTCCTATTCGTGGCAAT